TTCTGAATAATATCTGCAGAGATGTAGATGCTTGGTCACTCTCTCTGTTTCTCGTCTTAGCTTCATCCATCACTCCGTCTTCCTCTTAGCCTCAGCTGTTGTATCAAACCGTTCAGAGATGACCACGGCCCGCTGGCAAAGTTACAGTGCAGTCAACAGGCGGTTGGGCCGCGGTGTTGACATAGGAGAGTCGCCATTTTCCCTACTGAGAGTATTTGTTCCATTAGATTGATCTTGAAGCCACTAACTTATTTGTGAAAAGTTACACACTGTCGCTTTAAGGATAAATTGTAAACATTACATGATTGGTTTCGATGATATTTATTATACAGCAGCTTTAAATAGAATAGTCAGTTACACTGATGCACTTGTCTTTGATTCATTCATCAATACAAATTAAACATGCCATTAAACCACTCGTCTATTATTGGAGACTCAAAGACTCTTTTCACTACGCCCAAATCCTCCGCCAATAATAAACGTTAATATTCCAAATCTCTTTAGAAAATGAACTATACATCCAACATGTTTATTCACTCTGACTGATTATGTAAATAAGCCTCACATTTTCAATTTCAGCCAGATAGTAATTGCCTCAGTGCAGACCATATTAGCAAGTGAAGGATTTGAAGGCTTCCTCGCACAGCTGGTGGTTGTTGTTGTTGTCGTTTTAATCCGGCTAGATTTCAATCAAAGGGGTCAAAGAGCAAAAGAGCAAAAGAGCAATCGTCCGGTCAAGAAGAGCAACAAGCCAAGCCTGAGCAGGGGAGAGAAGTGGAAACGTGCTGAGCTTTGCTTTAGCTTCCACAGATATAACCTTATAGGATCACTTCCAGGGGTGTGTCAAGACTTTACTGAGTCGAGGGGCCGGGAGACACAAGATAGTGGCAACCTAAATATCTTCTTAGCTTAATTCTAAAATGATACAAAAAGAAGACATATTTTCAAAGTTACAATTTAAAGTATCTAAAAAATGCATGCAAACTTTTATACACTGGCTAACTTGAAAAAAAAAGAAAAAAAAGAGGCTATACTGATATGTGAAGAAAGCAAGTTGCAGCTTTTTCAACAAAAAAAAAAAAATGCCCTCAGTCGGTTAAAAAATAAATCCTGCCTCTGATGGGGCAAGTAGCCAAACACAGTTGAGGATTTTTTAAAGATTTATTTTTTGGGCTTTTTGTTCCTTTAATTGAGAGATAGGACAGTGAATGGAGTAGGGAATGACATGCACTAACCACTGCGCCACCAGCGCCCTGCAGTTGAGGATTGCTTGGGTGGCATCAGGGTTGGCGAATCAAATTTTAAGTGGGGCCCATGCCAACATTGGTCACCCCTCTGGACACGCCCTGATCACTTCTTACTTTTCAGCTTTACTTAAGAGCGAAAACCTCAAGTAGAGATTTCAGTTTTTGACTTTTATCCCTAACATTCATCACAAGAATCTGATTCTTTTTCCATTTTCAAAACAGCCTTGTAACTGTATAGATGTAACAATTACAGTGAACAATTGTATTTATATCACATCATTGCATGCCACCTTCCCAGCATCAGGACCTAAATGTGATGAAAAAAAAACCCTATAGAAAAGATGATTTCTTGGCGTATCACTCTATGCATATCCTACACAACAGATGTGACATAACAGAGACAACATGAAAGAAATGAAAAGAAAAAGCGGACCAGAAAAAACAGACTCAACCACAATGAAGAGGCGTCGAGTGAATTTCATGTTTGTGAGTGACAGAGTAAAGTAAAGCAGCCACGATAGCTCATGATACTGAAGTAGATTCAGAGCAGCAGGATGTTCTGAAACAGATTTACTGTACACAATGGAGCAAAGTTCATGTGCATTGTTTTCAGTGTAGCAGTTTTATTATTATATTATGAGTGAAATATTCTCTCAAACATCACGTTAGGCTCAGTAAGCTCTGCAGAAACCGCAGTGGAAATATATGACAGTGGGCTACTTCCTACTTTCATACTGCGGGTACATTTCAGAGCCTGCACTGTGTCAATGTGCTTTAACTAAGGAGTTGAATGAGTGTGCAAATTTGCAGCGGTCCAGATTTGGTCATATCCGGGATATTGCAAATACATTCAATACATGAATACATTTTTTTAAATCTGAAAAAAACCACACCACTGTGAAGGATTTATCTTGCAAATTTAAAATGCATTTAAAATCATCGTTGCTAGACTAAGCAGTTCAACGCGGCTCGCTGCCTTCAGTGTGACATACTGCACAGCCTGACTTCATATTTTCTCTCGTCTTAAATAGTGCAAAAGGGAGTTTTTTTTAAACAGCAATGTTCAAGAAAATTAACTTGCTGACAGGAACATTATTGCAGGTTTTGCACGATTAAATACCAAATCACATTGCGAATATGGTGTATCTTAAAGGCTTTATATGCAATTTTTTGATCCAGCAGATGTCGCCCTTGATCACCAGCATGAAACCAAAACAACTCGCGTTGCACTGTTGTGTTAGCATGCTAATGCTAGCGATCTTTATTATGCTGGTATCTTCACACTGCATGTAAATTTACCTGAAATGAGCGTGATCTAGAAACACAGTTAAGCAGTGAGTACAGTATGTTATTCTTCTTTTCTCTAGTCCCTCAATTAAACAACTTTTATACTCGAGGGGAGGAGTCAGCCGGCCGTCCCGGCGATGTAAACAAAGTGAAGATAGGACTCTGAAAACTCTGAAAACATCACAGACAGTGGGACTCGGGTGTTACACCCATTGTAGACAGTCATGACTCACAGAGTTATTTTCAGAGGATATACTTGATTTCTACATTTAAGTGTGAAAAATTGCACATAAAGCCTTTAAACTACTTAAAAAACCTGATCAAAACCAGGATACTCAAGTCCATGTATACGCACTTATTGAGGACTCTCAGTGGAAGATCTAGTTCTTTTTATTTCCATATAAAATTCTTCCAAAACTGTGTTTTTCGTGTTGTTTGGCGACTGCATGGAACTATCAGGGTTCACTTTCTGACACTCACTTCTGCTTTGTCTCTTCTGCAAGGAGAAGACAGGGATAAGTATTCTGCACCAGCTCTGGTCATGAGCGAGCGGTTTGATGAGCCAAATGGTTAGCAGAAGACAGCCAATTTACAGACTGGTGTGCATGGTGGACGTGACCAGCAGCGTCTCACAGTGGTGCATCAGTCACCTGCCAATCAACACGCTCCTAACATCAGTCAATCAACAGTGCATGTTCCCTGACTCATTCTGCCTGCCTCTCTCTCCGCGGCTGCCTGTCTCCACATGCAGACTTTCTTTGATGTTTTGTACTACTTTCCCTTTTTTCTATTTAAGAGGAGCTGTTGTTCAGCCATCAGCCTAGTTAAAAAGACCCCCCCTCCAGACTTCTTTGTGATGATACTGTTCAGCCCAAACTATGAAGGAAGCTTCAGAACAACCACAACTGGGGTGTAAATAATTTAAATCGTTCTTTTTTCTCATTTGCTTTGATGTAAATTACAATCATGAGATGATTCCTTTGCTACCTGAAGAAAAAAGCAAAGCACTGTGTGGCTCGGTTAACATTTCATACAGACGGATCCAGATTAGACCTCGCAGACGGTATTCTCCTTCATATTCCTACATATTGTCTGTAACTTCTATGGGTTGACCCTGAATAGTCGAATGTTCGACTTTTTGTACTCAAGAGTCTCATTCAGCTTCCAATCTCAAAGTCAAACACAAGGGTAATTATAGTCCAGCTACTGTAGGATTCATAGGGGTGCTCAATGTCTTATTTGACATAGATTTGGCTGAAATTAAACTTTCTTGTGAGCTCAAGAAATGTTCTCGTCAGCTCCAGTTAGTCTCTGGTGTGCATCAGAAACTTAAAGGATACTTCACCCATTTGCATTAAGCTTTGTATCGTTAGAAACCTGGTAGTATTTTTGAATGGTCGTGCATCCCCCCTCATTTTCCCCTGAGATGAGAAATCTTTGTATTTCTAAGTCTAAAAAGGAGCTTCTAGTGACGCAAAAAACTGAAAGCTGTTGCGGTTCTGGAAGAAATCTTGGAATCAGTTGAGGAAATGGCCTTATGTGTTGAAGTAAATATGTCTGTAAATGTTTTTATTACTATATTTCTACTGCTATACTGTATATTTTGGAGAAACTATAACGATCAAATTTCCCTCTGGGATTAATAAAGTATTTCTGATTCTGAACTAAAGGACCTTAGTGGAGTGGCCTGCGGTGCTGTGCATTCTGGATTTGGGCACCAACTTCAAAATTTATTTCACATTTCGACTACATATATGACCCAATGTCAATACAGATTCATGTTTCAACGGGTGAAGTATCCCTTTAAGCCATTTTCACACATGCACTCCTGAACATTTCTAGAAAGTTTTCAGGTAGACTCCCTGAAAATCTTCCAAACTTGTTTGTTCACACACGCACCTCACAGCGCGAGAATATCCAATGTCTGGTAGTCGGATATCAACCCCACCTGTAGTTGAACATTATCACAATATCGACAAAAGAACGGAGAACAACAAAATGTCTAACAGAAAACATTATCCAGCAGTTCATTAAGTCCGCAGAGATTGCACTGGTCAAGAACACATAGTCTAAAGTCGTGGGCTAGTCACAGGATATTAACATTACCAGCCTCTCGCTCACTCGCTGTCCTACCATGTTCACACATCGGCCCAACTTTATGCGAAAAATGTACGAGGGGTCTGGTAAGAAAAAAGTGTTGGTAATGCCAGAGTGAAAACATGTCTGTGCAGCTTGTGAAAGCACTAATATTTATTTAAATTTTCAGTCCATGTCCCTTTAGGGGCTCTGTAAAAGGCAATCTTGACTTGGATGACCTTCATTTCTTTTCCAAACACTGCAAGCTACACCAAGAGCCCAGAAGTCCTTTTATCATTGTTAGGGAATAGCTAATTTGTAGATAGACCAGACAGAAATGGAATGCGTCCAAACAGCAAAGACAAAGTGAGAGCACAACTTAAGTCCTACCTCTTTCACAGGAGCGTCCCAGATATCCCGTCCCAGAGCAGTCACACACGTAGCGGTTCCAGCCCTCCCTGCAGACCCCGTTGTTCTGGCACGGGTTGCTCAAACACTGTTTTGGCGGCTCCTTGGAGCAGGAGGGCTTGACCCCCGTGGCCTTCTGGATCTCGGCCAGGCGCCGCACGTCTTTGCTCTGCCCGTCGATGAAGAGGTCTCGGATGCAGCCCACGTAGCCGTAGTTGAGGAGCGCCGTCCACACCTCGGTGGGGAACACCAGCCCCAGTTTGTTCTCGGGCAGACCCCCGAGGTACAGGTTGTCATCCAGGTCCAGGATCTCACTCTCTCCTGGGGCGGTGTAGGCGGTGCGCAGGGTGTTGATGGAGATGGTACCTAAGGAATAAGACACAGTGGGATGTGATTATTTTCATTTCTAACAACTTTAAAAGGTTATCCACTGCAAGGAGAGAACACCTTATTGGTGTTGGATGCCAAAACACTCGGTAACAAAACACGCAGAGAAGAGCCATTTAAAGATGGTTTGATGAAGAAATTAGCTTAATTAGTGTTATCCATCTGGACAGGGTCAGGATTTTCTTCATTTAGAATGACTGATGAGTGCTGATAGGACGCATTAATCACAGGACAGCTAGTCTATTAGTAGCCTAATCTGCGATCCCTGAGAGTATCCTCTCCATTTTCCATGGATTTCCCATAATAAATCTTCTTTATCTATAAAGCAGTGGTCATAAAATAGAAAGGAGAGGGAGAAAGAAAAATTGTTCCTCCCCTATATCATTTCAACCAAACAGACCAAGTATAAAAAAAAAGAGAAAATCATAGCCATCTTTTAGAACTTGATTAACGGACTGCCGGCTGTTTTTTTTTTTCCCACCCTGTCCCCCCCCCCTTCTGTTTGCTTCTCCGACACATAAACCTGCGCTGGGAGTTTGTGTGTTTTCCCCACCATGATTTATCGCCCTCATTCAGGTTTAATTCTCGATCTGGAGCACCGTAAACAACAGCGGACATGACCGGACTGTAAAGCATCAGAAGAGGGAAGGGCCTTACTGTGGGGTTCAGACTGGGTGATTAATTTGTATATGGATCTGTTACTCTCGGTGCAGGAGCCACTGTGGATCTTTAATTAATGGCGGCTGCCTCCACTGCCCACAACCCTCATCCGGTAATCTATACACCCCCGCTGCTGAGGATCCGCGCATGCACGGCCGGAGAGAGCCCGGAGAGAGTGGCAGAGAAATAGTCGCCCCAAAAGACGCTCAAAAAATAAAATTGCCATAAAGTCACAATTTGCATTTTGAGTGGCAGATGCATACCACAGCAGATATGAAGGAGCTATTAGCTGATTTCCTCGGGCTTAATGTCAGAGTCCTAACTGCTCTCATGTTGAAGGAAGAGCACAGCTTTAAACTTATTTTTTTCCAGGCAAATTGTTTATGTTGGGAAAATAAGCCTGGAGCCACACATGAATTTTCAGCAGTGCTGCCTGGCAACATTTTAGAGACACATTAAACATTAAATGGGGCCTTTCACGTTTCATTACAGCTCCTATTAGCATGCATGAATATACATATCATGATTAATTATACGTGTGATAAATATCTGTAGGTCTTTTTTTCCTAATTAAGGAAGAAAGTCATTGTGTTTTTCTTTGCTTTTTCTGTCTGTTTTCAGATTCAAATCACTCCACGGGCTAATAATAGTTTTGGGTGTGTTCTTAACAGCCAAGGTGAGCCAGCCTTCTCGCCAACAGTGCTTGAGAGAGAGAGACAGCTAAGGACCGAGTGCACAATGATTAACCTGGTCCCACTAACATGTTCCAGTTCCTTTTCCCGGGGTCTTGGCCCCCAGGCATCTGTTCCAGCACTTTTCCTGCCCGCCACCCGACTGCCCCTGCTGCTCCCTCCAGCCGCAGCTGCCGTGACTTCCAAGCTTTGCACACTTTGGCAAGGGCCACCCGTCACGCAGCCAGAACAGCTCCCTTCAGGTTACAGCTAACGAGCTCACTACATCAAACTCATTAGCGGGGGGGAAAGTTTTCTCGAATATATATCGCAGGTGCCCGGCTGGAGGAAGAGCATCAGCGTATAGAAGTGCATTGCACACATGTCAGATCTAGAAGAAGCTGTATTGCTTTTTAATTACACATCATGTTTAAGTAGTCCTGAAACTCTGAGAAACTTTAATTTTGTCTCCATTTTGGCTGACCCTGCAGACAAAGCGGTTTAGCTCATCTGTTTGCTGATCCTGTCCTGCACATCCTCATGTCGTATTGTCCAAAAAACAACAACAATGGGCCTCGTTCCCCAATATCCTCCCATGTTTCATTCTTGCAGGTATTATATGCAACTTTCCAGAGTCAGAATCAGATTTATTGGCCAGGTATGCTTACACACACAATGAATTTAACTTTGGTGAACTGTGCTCTCTTATAATAATATAATAATAATAATAACTTTATTTATATAGCACCTTTTAAAAACACAGGTTTACAAAGTGCTTTGACAAACAGCAAAAACAAGAACAAACTAAAGCAAACACAGAAGAACATAAACAACAGCAAGAACATAACAAATACTAAATACTAAAAATAATTAAATACAATTCAACAGAAAAGAACCCAAAGTGCACGATACCCAACAGACATATAGAACCCGACCATCACAAGAACCATCATAAGAACCCAGGAAACACAATAACCCAACACCCTCTTATGTACAGGTACAACATTAAATATCAACAATAAACATAAGAAAAGACTAATATTTACATGATTAAACATGAAACAGTGCAGTGGTGAATAGTGCAACAGATGCTGAAGTAACATGATGATAAGTAAAATGCAGTTATGTGACAGATGGGTCAATTAAGATGTCAATTACATTATTTACATAAATAAGTGTGAGTAGATTGATCATTTAAATTAATTAATATATATACATATATGTATATTCACAGTGGTTCACAGTTTGATCCTGCAGATGACACCGCAGCCTCTCAGACCAAAACATGACTCCCTCAGGTCCCCTTTTTGGTGCTCTACTCCTTTGTCTGAATTAGACCCGGTGGCAGCAGTGACAGGTATTAAATAACCCAAATAGTTGGGCCTCCAGCTAGAAGACTGTTGTGCTTTTTGTAGGTCATATGGGGACGTGAGTCGCACTTTTTTCTCCACGACCAGTTTAAAGCTCCTCATAGTACATTTAAGTAGTACTCCAGTTGAAAACAGCAAACAAGGACAAGGGTAAAGCATGTAAGCTGTCGAAAATTGAAGTAAGTGGGAGACAAGAGAGGGGATGTCATCATCTTTCGAGCATCTGCTCAAAGTGCTCCACTCACTTGTCACAGTCCTGGAGGAAAACGGGTAAACACAGTCAAGCTATGTTAAGTCACAAGGCACTATGCAATCCCATGGGGACATGAGCCGTCACCGGGGCGAGCAGCATGAGCAGCATGAGCAGCATAACGGCACGTCGCGAGGATGGCGGGCCCTATGTTTGGAACTGTACTCGTCGCCGAAAGGGGGAACGGGGGACGTGTGTCTGTGAACACTGCTGAGCATAGAAGAGGAGGAGAGATGGATTCAGAACAAGATGGGAACACGGAGATAAAGATGTCTGGAAAAGAAGATGAGGGAGGGGTACACGATGACTGATAAGAAAGCAGACGAGGAAAGGCAGCAGCAAGGAATATGTTGAAGAAGCAAGAACAGGATGAACAGTTTAAGAAACCCTGTCTCCTAGAAATAAGGTCTACATCTCACAAAACATGCCTTCCTAATTATGCTGTAGTGACAACATAATTGCTGCATGGAATATGGAACCAGACGAAGTTCTTTAAGATTAAATTAAATACTAGATTGATGAACATAGCTGGAGGAACCTGGGGGAAAGCTGGGGTCAACTGTCTTCTCTTTTGGTCAGTGGTTAGGTGGAAAGCAGTTTGAGAAAGATTGTGGTTTTGGTTGGATTTTACTAAGACCTCTAAAGTCTTCAGTCAAGCTGGCTTGTCTAAAGAAACCTACCTATTAAATTTGAAAACTGCTGTATGCATGATTGGATAGTGTATTAAACAATGTCCAGACTTAGCCCCAACCACTCGGCAAATGCAGGTAAGAATCGAAATTGGCAACAAAAAAGACTAAAAAAGGGAAGTCGGGCGCTATTGGAGAGTGCTGTCATCTGTACAAAACATACTTTTGAGTGTAAGAACACATTATTTTGCATCACTCTGACCTGAAATAGTTATATTGCCCTTCTTCTATTTGACACTCCTGGCCCGACCTCGACTTGGTCAACCCTCCAAGTTTGTCAAACAATCTGTTAAATGCAGTCGCTAGTTGCAGCGCTGCACCGGATAAGTTGCATCAGTTGCAAACAGAGCAACTTGGTTTATTCCTACACACCGTCACTCAGCTTACTCAGGCTTTCGCGGAGTATAGTACCACGGCTCCTCAGGGGGGATGCAGCTGCTGCCTGCCTGGCTAACGGAGCTACGACAGATAATCATTAAACTCACTCATGAATTGCTTCATTTCTTATTGGTTTACTGCATTTTTGTAATCTTATTCTTGCTCGTAACAAAAGCCGGCATTTAATCCACTGACTGGAACGAGCGATAGCTTCCTCTGAAACGTAGTGGATCAGGTATCTCAAATATGCAATACAAAAGTAAAGTACAACACTAAAGGGAAAGTAGTTAGTTACTTTCATTGACTGTTAATGACTGTGTATTAAAGCCTTGTGGCCGGTTAAAAAATATATTTTGGTTGCTAAATGTTTTTGGCCCACTAGTGAGATGACCCCTGCCTCTTTGCTCCCACTCTGCCTGCCTGTTTGCACATCTCTCAGTCCCGTCTTTCTCTGTGCTTTGAGTTGGCATATTGGTGGAGCTGGGAGGGTCTTCAGCTGTTACCTGCTCAGCTGAGTCGGGCCGTCTGAAAGGCATATAGGCCTGCCTGATTGAGATCCTCATTCTCTTTCAGCTGGGCCTGCTGAAACCACCTCAGCTTTGTCCTTTGTTTGGTCAGTGGCAGAGAACAAAAAACCTAACTTTAAATGTTTTGCTTGTATAGCTCCAACTTTAGACCCTGATGACCATTATGGCAGAGTCCACATTCTTCTGGTATGGCCTCTATCATTATTTCTGCAACCTACCACATAGGTTTATGTAATTTCTTCCCCAACAATAAATGTATTACGATTCTCCTAAAACATATTTGATGATGCACATTAGTTATAATTCAAACCTAATTTCTAATGAAGACAAACGTGATAATTTCAGCAAACTACGGCCACATTTTTTCCACTCGCTCTTCTTTCTGACTGCCTGACCTGTAAGCGGTGCTCCATCATCAAAACCTCTGTAGGCAGGGGTCCAAATGACAGCTCAGATCTCGCTCACACTTTCTGCATCAGCAGCCAGGCTCAACTTGGCATGATGTCCCCCTAACCCCACTCTCACATCCCCAAAACATGTCAGACAGGGGATTACTACAATCCAGTTAGGGCGATACGGCCAAATCTCTCTATGTGATTGGATTCTCTGTAGAGAGGGAAGCTTGTGAGTGGGCTGTGGGGATGAAGGGGTGTGTTGCCTATATGCTTGTGTATGTGCATGATGTGTCTGTGTGTGTGTGTAGTAATGGTTTGTGTGTATACTGGCAGGAAGCTACAACAGAGAAATGTCCGTGTAATATCTCTGATGAGTGACCGTCGGCCCTCCCGGCCCAGAAGCCCCCACTTAAAAGCGGAGTGTCTCTTAGCGTCTCTAATGCATTGAGGTTAGAAGATGCTGTCTGAGAGCCAGAGTCCATTTACAGGGTTTGCTTCCTGCAGGAAGAGCCGGCTGAACTAAAAGGCCTGAGATCATTATCCGCCATTGTCACGGCTGCAGGAAGTGTTCCACATGGAGGACCCGACTGCAGATAATTACGTCTGGCTGTTGTGTTGCACTTGTGTTTTGAGTGATGTGCTTGATGGTGTGTGTGTTAATAAAACATCTGACACACACACACAGGAAAAGGCGAGCGAACCATATGTTTCTTGGCTCGCACTATCAGGTTTTTCTCATGTTTTAAATGTACTTTTATTCTATCAAATATTAAAAAGTGAAACGCTGGGGGTGTATAAGTGCCTACTCGAGCCAGGCTAGCATCATGTTGAGGGGACATTTCTGTGCTACACATGTGCATTATGATTGATTGATGATGTCCACAAATCAACTCAGTTTTTGTTTAATACATCCCTAAACTGGGGCGCTGGCTCAGCTCAGTTGATAAGAGTAGGCGCCCAATGTACAGAGGTTTAAGTCCTTGTTGCCCTGGTTACAGGTTCGACTCCCGGTCCTGACGCTATTGGGTGCATGTGGTCCCCCCTCTCAGCCCTACATCTCCTGTCACTCTCAAGCTGTCCTATCAAATGAAGGCAAAGTGACCAATAAATTATCTTTATATGGACTGAAACTTATAAATGGCTAAAATGGGACTAAAATTAAGAATTTTTATTCAAGACGAACTGAATCTAAAATAGCTGCCAAATTTAACACTTGTTTGCCGTGGTAAGAAATAGAAATCGCACTAATCCCATCTAGTACAAAGAAGTGCAAAAATTCTGATGCACCCGTTTGAGGTGCCATGCACACATCATTACTCTTTGCAAAACAATGGTGCTTTGTTCAGACCCAGAAAATCTGGTGATGCAAGATTTTAGATTCGGGACGATTGCATACTTGCAGAATTTAATTGCCTTAAATGGTGAGCAAAGACAAAGCAGGCTCTGGTAAGTTGTGAAAATGCTTTGCATCTTTAAAAAGAACGGGGTTTGAGAGCGCCGAGTCTGAGGCATTGAAGCCTCTTTGTTACTCTCCTCTCGGGGGAATACATCATATGGACGAGACCTTTTTTATGTCCCATTGTAAGTGTTGATGCCTTAGACTTCGGGAAAAGGAAGAAAAGTTATTCTGAAATGTCATTAGTGCACAGCTCAGCAACAGAACTGTGCAGTTACTGTCTCAGTCCAGGGAGAGACCACCTCCTGTTTCCATGGAAACTTAAGCAGGGTAGACAGGGAAAGGAGAAGCAAGCAGAATGGGCTCGAATAACAAAAAAGATGTTTGATAGCTTTTTGTGTGTGTGTGTGTGTGTGTGCGTGCGTGCGTGCGTGCGTGCGTGCGTGCGTGCGTGCGTGCGTGCGTGCGTGCGTGCGTGCGTGCGTGCGTGTTCTTCTGTCTGCGTGTGCATGTAAGTATGTGGGGATGGATGATAGGATGTTTCTAAACCAGAAATTAACTTAATACTATTTTATAAGAAAGCATCTCTAAAAGTTTAATCTACGAGATATAAATCCTATAGATTCAGGCTAAGCCACTTAGAACTCTATATTACTAATATAACTTCATCCTGAAACCTTAATCAGAATATTGCAGCTCAATGAATTTAATTAGATAGAAAAGACACCTGAGCACTGCAGTTCAACGTGGAATTAAAAAAAAAAACAAATCCTGAAAGGGCTCTATAGCTATTTTAACCAACATGTGCATAGTTCAATTTGCACCACAACACAGTATTGCTCTGGGGGTAATGAAACAGTTAATCTAATTTCCACCTCTTGAGATGGAGTGGAAAACACGGTCAAGAGGTATATCTAATTTGCAGCATGACATTGCGAGGCCTTGGCTCCCAGCACACACTAACAAATTGCTGCTTAGATAAGCAAATCAACAGGGACCAAAGCAGAGCGACCCGGGGCTTTAGAGGACATGACGGGAGAGGGGGCAGAGTCATTTGGTGGCAAATATGGGACTTGTATCACAACACATGACACACAGATACCATGAAATGAAGATAGGTGACTGTCATTGAAAGCATTGTTTTCACCAAATATCTGGAACTGCTAACAGGCATGAGTGGAAACATCGATTTACTTTCCCTTGGTGATGTCGTATCCGTCTGTATATCATATTTCACAGAAAAGTTACCCTGTGACCCTGCAGTATAATATATTTTTAACAAGTCAATAGTTTATCTAGATGGTGCACAGCAGAGCTAATAATCCAGATGTCTGCAGGATGCTGCAATATATATTCAGGGCCTGTGATAGTCCGTTTTTCAAGCTCATTTTCATCATGCAAACACATTTTGTGTGTCCTTTTAAATATTATATATTTTTCTGCCTTTTTCTACAAAACCTAAAATAAACCCTTTAAATAAACCTAAATCCTTAGATCACTTTGAACACTACTGATGTGTAGTTCATTTCAGCAGTTTGGAATATTTGGCTGCAATGTTTGTGTTTGTGCGGTGGATGAGCGATTCAGTGGAGGACAGGGGCAACGACCTATCCTCCAGGCCGAGAACGATCGAGAACAGCACTGCGCACCAATAGAGGACGGGGGCAGACTGAAGGTGTGAAGGAAGCTCCAGATTTGTCCTTGTGGTTGGCAGTAACATCAATCAAAGGCCTTTTAAAGTCTTTATTTCAGCCGTTTTCTCAAGATTCTCCACGGATATTCTCGTAATCACAGGAAAAGCAGCATTTTTTTATCCCGACATAACTAGATAAATAAGTCGGGATCTCGAGAACACAACTGAAATTAAATGACAATCACATGAAAAGTGAGTAAATTTAAATGTATGGTCTTTTTGAATCTGTTTGTAATTTTTCCCATATTCCACTGCAGCCCATGTGTTGCCAAACCAGTGAGGATCTTTTTCATTTGCTGGGGTTTGGTCTGTTTGCATGTGCTTTTAAATACATATACATGCAATATGTTGGGACTCTCTGGGGCACAATGGAGGTAATAGCGAGAGCACAGACCTTGTGTTACACACGCTTTGTCTAAAGATAGTAAACAGTAATGGACTTGAATGTTACCTGATCTGCCGTCCCGCTGGAAGTCCACGTGGTACCACTCTCCATCATTGACCTTCTTATTGACCGCCCTGGTCTTTGTGGTTCCCGAGCCCATATCCAGCAGCAGGTAAAGATGGCCGTCCAGCATCTCGATGGCAAAGAAGTCCACCTTGAGCGTCTGGGGATTCTTAGAGTCCTTGGGCTGCTGCTTGGGCTTTCCGTGGCTGAAGAGCAGGAGGCCATTAGGCTCTGTGGTGCGGAAGTCAAAGGAGATGGAGCCCGTCTTCTTGGCGTTCCACTTGTTCAGGACAATGAAGGACTCCGGTGTCTCGAATGTGATGGGATCCAGAGTGGCCACGTTCTCACACTTGAAAGCCACAGTGCCATGGACCTTCATCTTGGGATCACCCAGTTTGGCCAGCCTGGACAGCTCAAGTCTCACATCGTTGTTTTTGTACACAACCTGTATTGAAAGAAGACAGAAAAAACATTTTTACAGCCATACAGGAAGTAGAGTAGCTCACCAACAAAGTGAAAAATTGACTTTTTGTGATGTTTGAAAAATGTAATTCTACTGGCAATCTAATCATTCTCATGTTTGGGCCTATTCTGATATTCAAGGTATCAAAGACAGCCCTTTTTATCTGAAGGTAGCCTTCATGAGGTTCTGCTTTCATGAGGCACACAAAGCTTTACACCAACTTAAAAAAGAGATATCACCATTACCAACCTATCGGAAACCTGGACCTTTAGCCAGTTGGGCTAGTGAAAAATGTGTTCATGCATGTTGACTCATAAAACTCAAAATACATCCAGTAACTATAATTTCCATCATGTTTTACCCAACCTTAACCATGTTCTTTTTTCTTTTTTTTGCCTTAATCAAATGAGACTGAACGTTTAATTCAATGTTTGTCAGGAAGAAAAAAGATTTGTCTTCGTGCCTCTGTAAGACATTCAAAATACAAACATTTGGTGTCCGAATGAGACCCTAAAGGATACCATGTGTCAGAATTAAGGCTGTCCAAATGTTTGTCTTTCAATACTTTCAACATCTTGTGTTTTAAAACAATACAAACTCTGTTATTTCGATGATCAACAGCAACGATAAGAACTCAAACTTTAATGAAAACTTCAGCTCTTCAGTCGCACTTGAGCAGCTGCCTCGAGCAAAGGAGAGAGAGAGTGCTTTCTAAATTGCACAAATATGTTGGCAACATTAAGGTACCCAATGATTGCCAAAGTGTATCAATTTAGACAATGTGGAGGAGTATGCCTGCAATTTTCATATTAAAAAACACAAAATGAACCAATATTGGGAGCCTAGGACTTTTATTATAATTTTCATTAGATTATTTAGAGTAATTTTTGGGCCTTTTTGCCTTTAATGGATAGAACAGCTTAAGACAGGCAGGAAATGCTAGGAGGAGAAAGCAGGAGTGTAGCTAAAGGCAGAGGCCGGACGCGAACCCTCAGCCACTGCGACATGTACATGGGGTGTGGGGCATAACCGCTAGACTATAGACGCTCCCCAGGACTTGTATTTTTGTTGCTATGATGGGTAAGTTTACAACCCTGGTCTGGATAAGCTGCCAAAAGGCCATGACGAAGCGTTTGTAACCGACAACCACAAGATGAGAAAGCATTGCGAGTACAAATGCTTCCTAAATGAGCGAGCTGGATATGAAAACATTCGTCGTCACTGTGACATTTCTTCCCCTCAGGACGGTGCATCATAACAGGGTTTGCTCGGCTCAACTCTTGGTCATCGTTGTCACACTGTACCTATGCGTGAGAAACCATTTCGCGCGGCACCAAATGTCACCGACATCATTCTTTTTTTTTTTTTTTGCTCCCCATCTGAAGCCTTCACAACACATGCAGGGTTTCATCCAGCTGAAGGTTGCAGACAGGTCAGCTGCTCTGACTTCCATTTTGACTTTTAGCTTCGGTGTCAGCTGAAGGAAGAAGCAGTCTCAATTTGGGAGGCAACGGAGATAATGGTTGGAGAAAATGACTCTTTCAGGAAGCACCTCCTGAGATTCTGGGATTGTTTGTGAAAAGTGGGATGGAGAGTGATGAATCTAAACTGCGGCTTGGATTGCAGGTGTGGAAGAAAAATGCTGATTAAGCTCCCTGTGGCAGACTGTGATTAAAATAAAAGTGGGCAGGTGATGGATAAGTCGCACCAAAGGAAATTAAAAACCAGCGCATAAAAACCTACATAATCACATTTTGACATTCAGTATCCTGTACATCAGTGTTTTTCCAACGAGGGGGGGGTCTCTACCCCATGGGGTCGCTTTAGACAGTCTTAATCACTAAATATCAAGATCTATGCTTTCTTCTTCTATGTCAATCTTTCAACTGAACATAAATTACACACCACTCTAGCCAATCAGAATCGAGTAGCCGCTATGAGTGACACATCTATACATTGCTGTACCACTGAAAACTAGCTACCTACTTCAAAAATCTAGACAGAAAACAAACAAATGAGTGAATAACGAGTAAAATAAATATACATTTACTCCATCTATGAATTATAGTTGGGACAAATCGATTGCCTTCATATTGCACGATAAAAGTAGGAGACTTACAAGAGTCAGAGGGCCGCAGCTAATTGGGTCCTGGGCTGCATTTTTTGTTATTCTCACTGAAACTCAAACATCAGCTTTTGGTTTATATTCTCAGACACAGCACACCAGACAAGGTTTGGCATCCGAGTGCTGTTCTTAATGAAGTACATTAGTGCTGTGACCTTTGCGATGCCGGCAGCTAGCCCATTACCATAGACGGATTCTTTATGTCATTAAAGCACCAATTAACCATGGATTAGAATTATTATCCTATGCTTCAGTGCAAGCATCATCCGTCCAATTTGCCAAGCCGATTTTTTTTTTCTTGTCTCTATTTATTTGAGTATGCAACTCGTCTTTAATATCATGTTGCACTGTTATGTGCATTAATCAGCCACAACATTATGACCTCCTGTGTAATCCAATGCAATACAATGGTTCTACCATAAATTCTGCTTTTACAAAGCTTTGACGTTTTCTGTTTTAGTTGGCATATTCAGAAAAAAGATTATATATTTCTTATTGGTGGTGGTGGATCTGTGTGCATCAGGTAAGATAATTCTATAAGGTTAGGACTTCAGAGCGCTGTCACACTGAGGGTGGTTTCAAGGACCTGGATCTGAGTACGCTTGACCCTAAAGTCTAGTTCATTTGATCAGTGAGAGCAGGAACATACTGTTCTCGTACTGTACTCGAGTACTGGGCCTGAGTCCACTTGAAGAGATGGTCTCGAGCATGACTCATGTACTCGAGTGCAGTGAATGCAACTGACCTCAAAGAAGGAAGTGGATCGCTATATGACGTTATGCTAAATGGACTTGAGCTTGTATAGCACTTTTCTAGTCTTCTGACTACTCAAAGATCTTTTACACTGCAGGTCACACCTACACGATCACACACTGATGGCAGAGGCTGCTGAGTAAAGAGACCATCAGAAGTAACTAATCCCATTTAAACTCTACCGACGAAGCAGCGGGAGCAATTCAGGGTTAAGTGTCATGCCAAAGGACACATTTGGACATGTTGCTGCAGGAGCTGGGCATCGAGAAGACGACTCTACCAACTGAGCCACAGCCACCCAAAATGGCCTCTGTCACTTTAAAAAAAAAAACTCGTACCAGCACGGTAGAGGTGGAAGTAGGAAGAGGGTCGTTGCTGTTAGCAGGATGGACTCAGCCTGTGATTTTTGATTTTTAAACGTCTTTTTGTTTTTCTCTCTGTCTTGACGATTTTGACATCTTGTGTGAAGCACTTTGAATCGCCTCGTTGCTGAAATGTGCTACAGAGAGAAACCTGCCTTGCCTCTATTAAAAGGTGTTCCAAATGTTTTGCCCACTGCATTAACATAAACACACGGGGAGAATAGTGAACATGCAGTATAATGCAGTCTAGCACAGCACCACCTACAACTACTTCGATAATTGAAATAAAGAAAAATGATTACATTCCTGAGTTTTTCTTTTTGAAGGCATCAGATTGCAGAGATGGTCATAATGTCAGCGCTGATTGGTCTAAACGCAGTGTGACAGGTCTTTTGAGTTCTGCACTCAACACTTTAAAAGACTCCCTTTGATAGAAAATACTCAAAATATTGACCGTGTTCATATCTCTCAAGACTAAAAAAGTAACTACAACGAGAAGAAGGGGGGCATTGCATGTCAGAGCGCATAATTGGCAACAGCCTTGTAAAAAATTAGAGACAGGCAGCACCTCGTTATTATCCAATCTCAGTAATGACAGAGCATCTCGTGTAAGTGCAGCTGTGATAACAAGGATTCCTCAGTCTATGTCATTTCCATAAAAAGATGCTAATTAACGTTTGGGTGAATGTCAAAACTTTATTAACATTAAGACTTCAGCGTGGTCACGATGCATCCAAATTACCTTATCACAAAAACATGTACACGAACCCACAACGACACTTTAACACAAAGCTGTCAATAGCATGCCAGGCAGGAGGGTTAGAGAAGCAACGAGTGCTTAACAACGACCCCCCCCGGGGGAGCACAGTCAATGATCTCATCCTGCACCACTCCAGCTCTACTAATTGGTTGAATACGGTTCTCGAGTGACAAACGGCGCCATCCTGGTCCATTCATGTGTATTTACATAACACAACAGTTGTAATGGTTAATCCATAAAATGAGGAGTTACAGCTGTGTAAAAAACACCGCCCCATGTTCTGTTTTTTTTTTTTTTTATCGTCATGCTAAAGCGCTCACCTGTAAAAGCAGGACACCGCTGATGGGATTTCATCTGCATGGAGAATTTCTGTTTATCAGCGAGGTCACATCTACTAGTGTCTAACTGTTCAGGCGGGTGAAGCTCATAGCGCCTGCTGAGTTTCCTGATAATGCCTCGTGGCAGTTTGTATCCGACTTCAGTTAACTATAAGATCACCACTGCTCCTTGTATGCTCGGGTTGGTTGGTCTGCCTTGTCTGCACGTAGACTAAACCACTGGCATATTTGTATTCATAAGGGTATTCTCAGGTCTGCTTCCATCCTACCTACAGAGCTACATACTTCAAAAAAGTAATGGAAGTTACTTAGACCTTCTAACCATCCCTAAAGTCCGTACTGAATTAGGAAAAAGGAGACTTCCAAGTATGCTGCTCCCTCTTCTTGGAATCGGTTGCAAGATACTTTAAATCTTCTGGAGCTGGTTTCCTTGGTCGTCTTAATGATCTGGAGGCAGAAATATCTGACTGTAGCCCCTTTTTGATCGCTTTGTTGCTGATGACTTCTGACAGATTCTGATGAATGGTTCTTTTTGTGATTCCTGTATTTATGTTAATTGTTAAGTGTTTTTATGTCTGAAACCCTGTAGTTGTGCTGCTGCCTGTCTTGGCCAGGAAGCTCTTGTAAAAGAGATTTTTAATCTCAATGAGACTTTTTCCTGGTTAAATAAAGGTTAAAAAATAAATAAAAACACACAGTTGAGAGCGTGCTTCTTCCGTCCTCATCGTCATTTTTATGTCTGAAAGAAACTAAATGTGGGACAGAACGTTCTGAAGTCTTGTGTCAAATGAGTAATTGAATAAAGATGGTGTCTCTGCGTGCTGAACTTTAGTGATGTGGACGAAAGGTGCATCAGATACAGCCTGTTAACCCTCATCAATTCTTCACAGTCAAGACACAAAAGGGCACCTCTCAGAGTCAAAGGAGCTTTCGGTCTGAGCCACGTCTACACTGCTACTAGTAGTGCTGCACTAATTCGTCATCAAGCTCGGGCTGTGACAACTGAGCTATTACTGCACCACCCTTTGTTTTGCCATCAGAACCAACAGGCGGGCGTGGCGACTCAGAAATGGAATCTGCACATTAACGCTGCGGGTGGAGAAAGAAGAAAAAAAAAAAAACGAGGAGGCAACATGTGATCATCAGTCAGGCGCTACAGCACATATGTTCAACCAGCGCTCACATGATATAACAGCATACATGGAAGATGACCTTTGACAGGGGGCTTCTGTATAATTCAACAGGCGGGGATGAGACGACGCAGCGAGCTTGTCAATGTGCCATAAAAGACTGGAAGAAAACCTGAGCAAAGTGAATGATACTAAATATGGATTTTACAGTGTAACAGGCTATATTTTTTTAGATCTGCGTTCTGTAATAAAACTAAATAAAAATGAAACGGTCTCAGGAGGGGGGAGATAAAGAAGAGGAATATCATATCATAAGGAATTATCACAGCCAAGCAGTAGAGATTTTGGTGTTTGAGAAATTTAATCTGATCTTTAAGAGAAGCTGTTGCAGTCGCAAATGTCTTCAGCTGAAAGAATTTGATAAAAAAGCATATAGTGCACCAATTCTGTTCCCTTTGTTTGGCATCTGCAGCACCTCAGCAGCATTAACTAAGAATCCCTTTTTAACTACCGGACCTGTAACAAGATGTACACGGCGTGCAGCCATGTGGTCCAAGCCAGACTCGCTCATTAAACAGAAAAAGACTCAACTTCTCCGAGAGGCTCACTGAGGACGACAGGGTGCCGCTTTGGGTGAAAGACAAAATGTAGGACACGGGGAAACCTTAAAAAAGGAAAGACAGAGAGACGATAAAAAAGAGGGGAAACTGTCATCAAAGCTGAGAGATGAGTGAGTGGATCATTTTGTGATTCTGTGGGGTGAAAAAGATGATATCAAGAGTGTGTTCTTCAGCTGCTATGACAACCTATTAGCTGCCACCTAAAATAGTAATAATGTTTTCTGTATAAAAACAGAGATCTAATCTCAACGAGGATACATTAAAACACAGATGTAAACGATTACAGAGTGGATAGTTTATGATCTGAATAAGGAGTCTGGATGGAATCTAATTCAAGAAGGTATAAATCAGAAATGTGCTGAATGCATCACATGAAAAATATCAAGCAGTGATGAACACTTCTGCACCTTGTTGTGTGTTTCATTCCTCAAGGTGAGAGTTATGACCCAGCTGCATTTTCATCATTTCAAAGTTACATTTGGATAACATACTACATGGGATGGGGACTGTTCATTTTCATTGATTTTAATGTAAGTCGATTTATTTTGGGCTTTTGCCTTTACTGTATCTAGACAGGACAGTGGACAGTGATAGAGTAGCGGATTGTGAGAGAGAGAGGGGCAATGACATGCAGGAAAGGAGCTGCAGGACACCCCTGAGGACCAAAGCCTTCATCTGGGGCGTGGCCTAACTGTTAGGCCATCAGTGCCCTACTGATATTGATCCTGAAGCCTCCGCTCCCCTACAGTGACACAACTCCAAGCCCATTCGCTTGAAGGAGTTATCATATAGAACGCACCTCAATGAAGCACCGTTAAGCACAACCGCGAACAGAATTATCCAATCACCTGTGTCCTGCATTGTTGTGTTAGCAGGCTAATGTTAGCATGCTTTAATTAGCTTGTAGCTTCATATTGCAGATAAATTGAAAGGGAATGACCGAGATCTAAAAACACTTGTGTGACATCCAAATAAGCAGTGAGTGTGTTCTTCTTCTTTTCTCTAGTCCTTGACTAAAACAGCTGTATACCCAAGGCCGTCCCGTCCATGTAAACACGGCTCTGACAACAGTACAGCTGGCGGGACTCGAGCTTCTCACTCATTGTAGACCGTCATGACTCAGAGACACATTAACACAGGATAGACTTGATTTCTGCTGTATTTAAAATGTTGCACATTCTTCCTGTAACCGAACCGAGTTTTGATCCCCATCCATCCATATGTAACCAACACTACTTACAATGTAACACATAACCGTCACGAGTTATTACCAATACTCTCTATTAGTCTAGTGCTGCGTATTCCCTGGTGGAATAATGGTGAGGTGTTAACTGTGAGAGTTTCCTGACGCTCATGAAAATTCAACCAGCCTGATCTCAGGATCACAGCTCCTCTTTGAAGTGCACCTGACAGAAGCCGTGTGAAGCCTGTGATAAATTCCACTCTAAGGCTGAGTTCTTCATGCCTGCTATACTGTGCTACACACCAGACCCCTCGACGCGGATGTGTGTGTGTGTGTGTGTGTGTGTGGTGTGAAGCATTATGAGTACAGTGAAGGGTCGTTGGAGGAAAAGTAAAGTATCTGTGAGAGTTTCTTTTGTGAGTAAAAACAGAAGCAACAAACTAAAGCAAAAGTGTAAAGGATGAGACAGGGTCAGTGTGTGGGTGGAAGGGCCTGTTGTGGTGTCCTAAGGTGAAAGCCAGTCATATTCGGTCCACCCACCAGTCTCAGTGTGCACACAAGAGTGGTGTTTACCTCCTTCAGGCATCCCATGAAGTTGTTGCTAACCGGAGATCCAGGCAGGTCAGCCGTGCTAGGACTTCCTCCGACATAGAAGAAGTCATCCGAGCCTAGCATGGTGTAGTCTTCTTGTGTATATCCCGTAGTGGTCAGAATCCCATCCACAGATATCGTTACCTAGACAACAAAGCACAAGGAAAGACCACGCTATACTCAGGCAGCCTATACATCGCAACGATACTGCCTCTCCTTCTTGTTGTCTATGAAAGACTTCCCTATATGTATTTTTCTGAAACCCATTTTCATGTCTGTTTTCATTGTCTTTTTTCTTGTTTTTTCTTTATTATTATTTTGACCAGTTTGGTTAGTTGGAAGACTGCAAGCCTTCAAAAAGAATGCTAATCTGGTTAGAGAGTTAGTAATCTGCCCATACTACAGTGTTAGTATTGCACCTACTGCAACTTAAAAAGAATTTAGCAGACACAAAAATGGTGTTAGTAGAACGTTAACTAGGTTAGTTTAACTGTTATACAGTCGTTCATATTAGTACGTCCAGCAGTTCTACAAAAGAAATCAAATCGTGCCACTGGGTTAGATAGGGAGCACATGCTCTTAAAAAACACAATCACTAGTTAGTAAAGGACAATGACTGAGGGTATTGGACAAAAGAAATAGCATGCATGCATTTGTTCTTTTTGTTTAGAGCACACAAAAAGAAAATGTTCCCAAATGTTTAATTGGGATGTTAAATTTTCAGAACTTTGTAACTCTTTGAAACATTGTCAGATGCATGCAGAAGCTCATGGACACTGAGAAACCACCAAAAAGAAAGCAGCAGAGAAGCACCACTGACAAACACAGCTCGACTGTCACAACCATGTGGACGAATGGGCAGTGTGACATTTGCAACACATAAGTCAAAATTGCATGCCATGCAAAGTGAATGGGGGATACAACTGGCTGAGCCCAAGAGCATCAGGCCAGCCAGACGGGGAGAGGGGTCCTCATTATTAACCACAGCTTGATGCAAAAGGCTCGAAATGATGCTCCTAAAAAGGTGGATCAAACAGAATTGGACAGGAAACAAGTGAAATAAAGAGGGTGAAACCAATGAATGACCCAAGAAATCAAAAAAGGATTTCGAAAAAGTAAGCAGAAGAGTACCAACCGCAATTTCCCTTTTTTTGTTAATGACGTCTACAGTAAAAAAAGAAAGAAAAGAAACACACGGCAAACCCAAACTAAGAAACAATTAGAATGATATCTACCGAACAATGTAGTTTGTTTACCATAGCGTGTCCAATGCCTGAGTGCTTTGTGGAAAAGGGGGGAGAAAGGAAATTAAAAACTGTGAACAGAATAACGATTGTTACTCAAATAATATATGATGGTCAATACTGTTAGTACATTGTTAAACGGCAAAAAACCATACTGTTAGTAGAATGGCACATTCCATGAGTGATGTTAGTTTGTTTCCAAAGCATGTTAGTAACATAGAGAAAAAAGGGCAAAATAAGTTTAACAAGAAAAAAGCAGACCAAGGAAAGAGCGAGAAAGCTCCACAAGAGGTGCCAGAGCTCGACCGGTGACTCCCTAGGATTCCTCATGGTGTTTTTTTTTGCACCATGTTCTGTATGCAACCATACCGCCGAGAAGCAGAAAAAGCTCCTTCACCCTTGACCTGACATAAGGTTATGACTGACAGAAATCAAATGGTTCATAAGAAAGAATGCCTAAAGCACATCAGTTGACCCTCTTTTACAAAGTCCTAAGTTCAAGACCATTTTAAACTTTACTTTATTCACACTAGTTTTTTTTCCTTCTTTGTACTTTGTTTGAGGCAGGAGTCCAATCCAGTGTATCAGACTTTCCGGCGCCCATTCAATACTGTACCTCCTTTTGGTCTTATTGATGAACTTTAGGATCACTTTACTGCAATGAGACAAAGCAAAGAAGACCCTGACACAGAATGAGGAGGATGGCAATTTGGATTCCCCCACAGAGCATGCACTCAATATGCATGGTTTTCTTCGCACAATTTGAATGCAATGAATGTCCGAGCTGGCCAAATCCTTACGTTTGCCAATAATCAATTTCCTGATTATGCAAAAGAAGCAGCATTACTGGTACTGAGGTGAGGAGCAACATTTCCCACCAAGTGAGCAGAGACGAAATCTAGAGATGTTGTCCTAATTATGTGTTTTCAAAGATTTGAGATACTGTCCTTACAAGTCTAATCAAGCATTGTTATGTGGGTCAAAATAATCAGTTTGATACTTTAGGGTAAAGAGAAAGAAATGTGTACAATTCCATTTAACACAGAACAGAAACAGTCAAACAGGAATAAGTGCTATCTTGGCAAATCTGATAGCAATTCATCTGGAGAGCCACAGTCTATACAAGGCCCTTAAAAAATGTCTCTGGCCTTTAGAAGCTGAAGGTAACCTGGAACGCCATCCTGTCCTTTTGGCTTTTGCATGTGATCTGCATCATTAAGGGAGTGTGGATACACACTTTACGTACCCCACCAGCAATAAAAAAGTGATCTGGACCAAACAAAAGTGCACTACGTGTACAGAAGTTATGCAATGGACCAAGATGGCACCAATGGCAGAAATCAGACTAGTTTGCCATGTTCTGTTTATGTCACTGCCTTTAACAAACCTCTTTTCTGGATGGTTGTGCAGGTAGCACAAGTGTGTACTCTGCCATAAAGACTGACAAAGAGCTTCATCTGAAAAGTATCACTTACAGACAAGCGCAGACATCTTTAATTGGCTACTTGGACATAATTCAAATTCACACCAACTAAAACTATTTAAACTGCAAGTCTTTGCTGTTGTAGTTGGTTCAACAAATTGACTGGCAAAGCAAATGCAGTTGCACGGTTGAATGAAATGCAGGGGGGTTGTCTTTCTGTGTGACAATTTGTTTGCCAAATTCGACAAAGCCACCTCAGTCGGGCATTTAAGGCTATTTAGGCCTTGGAGTTCTGAAGGGAAACCCCATGTCCTGCTGTAACAGAGCCATAACAGATCAGCATACTTCAATGGAGGCAGGTAACTTATGCCAAAAACAATAGGGAGCCTGATATTGTTCAGAGCTACTAAGAATATGTGGATAGCGTCTCAGCAGTTTTTCAGAATAGTCATGATTCCAATAGACCCGTTCAGTTGTCATGTCCAAGTGCAGCCTCCTGATACCATTAAGTACATGTTTGCCAATGCTGCAAACACTCAGTGACCTCGCTCTTGCTAGGACAGTCTGTTCTAGCAGGTGGAGGCGCTTGCACATGTTCAACGGCCAGAGGCTCCGCTTAACATCTTTCCTTCATCCCATCTGATTCCTCTGCTCTTGGTGAGACTCAGCCAAAAATCAATTCTGTTGATTCCCTGGCTGCTCCGACGTTTATGAGTTACACTGCCACGGGCGAAGGGCACTACCTGATGTATTCTGAAGTTAACAAATGGCAACAGGCTGCTTAATGGAATTCACTAGTTTCTACGTTTGAAATCTTGGGCGGCCTAATCAGATCACGCTGTCAATACATGGTGTCTTTTCGAGGTTAATGAAGATGTACGTCTTAGAGGACATGTAGGGAAGCAAATAACAACCTGTCAGAGAGTTTCACCTGTGTTAAATGATCTTTGATTTCTAAACCTTCCTGTAGCTTTATTTCTGTTTATGGATAGGGAATGATTATTTCATGGATATTGATACCATTATCAAAACACCAAAACACAACTCTTTGTCCATACCACTATTTATACTCTACTATTATTTAGTGGACGATGAAACAACACTAGCAGTGGTATAATTTCTAGTTTTAAACTCCAATTAACTGTATTTATTCAAATTTCTTGGCCAACTTAATTGTATTTTTCTTGACGTTACATTTGAACACATCATGATGACGTTTTATTCACATTTGCTTAATCGTAATCTTACTGACTCCACCTTGCACTCATCATATTGTAACTTTAAGTCATCTCATTGTTAGTTAACTAGCTTCTATCCTGCCAATTTCAACAAAATGTCATAACTGAATAACTATGTTTAACCAACTGGACTTGAAAGTTTGGGTGCGCTTACCAAGGCTGGTTTGAGTGAAGTGCTTTGGTAAAATGTAGCCAAACTTGAGACATCTTAAAACGTCATTTTAAATGAGGTGACTTGACTGGAGGTATAATGTTAGGCTACTGTACCCACAAGACTAAAAATCATTTGTTTTTGAAAAGTGCAGAACTGGGTCCGTAATAGAACCTGGTTTCGATCCCTATCCCTAGTTAGCTGTACCTAAACATGTTCATATCCTGCCAGAAATATTAGCTTATTTTAAAGTATAATGTGTTCAAATATTCCTAATGACGTAAAGCTTTAAACGTTTTCCCGTTTGAGGAATATAACCCACTCCACATAAAAAGTAGAACAAGCAGTCAGAACACAATGTCACCTTTTAACGTGGTTTTGTTGCTCATAAGATGACGTGCCTTATTCTAAAAACCATCTAGTGCACATTAAACCAGAGCAAATGTCATACCTCAGCATCTTGATGACCCTTAATGCTTTGTATGCAGTTTTGGAGCCATGTTTTTCCCTTGAACTGTAACCTAATAGAAGTCTCGATTCACATCTAGATGTCCCTGCTCACTTGTGGTTTCTGTTTTATCTCCACCATACACCACCATGATTCAATTTAGCAATCCGATTACAATGTCGGGAAAAATGATATATAGTATGATGGTAATGATTTAAGTGCATTTGTTTTGATTCATTTACTGAGTCTCTGCATCACCCTCTGTACTGTTACCTGACGTAGATTCCTTGTTACTTTGACATCATGCCAATCATTGTCATTAAATTTCCCATTGACTGGCTCCACCAGAGCTTCAAAGGCTCCAGACCCCAAATTAATGACGAGTGAGACAGCCCCATTTTTCAGCGCCAGGTTGACGTAATCAGCCGATTTGCCCGTGTGCAGCATCAGTCCATTCCTCTGTAGAGTTTTGAAAGACAGTATGATTTCGTCACTGCTGCTTTGAATCGGGTTCAAGGACAAGTCGTAGCAGAAGAACTCAGATCCTTTGAAGGTTGCGACATACTCTTCTTTTCCTGCGGAGACAAAGACAGAGAAATGTGTTGCATTAATATCTTGGCCTCTTGGGTGCCTGTTGGATAGCAGTCAGGAATAAAAAGAGGAATAATATCTCAAAATGTATTTCTAAAAAAGAAAAATGGAAATATGAGGCATGCTGAAGTGCAAAGGATGCTACAGTTAGAGATATGCCTACTACTGTAGCTCTTAATGACCAGCTGGTACCAACCTTAGCCAGAGTTAACAGGTGTGTCGAGCATAGCACCACATCAGTGTCAATATTCATTATCACAAACAATAACAAAAGATGCATTTCCACCAAAAGAAGCTGAGACTTTTAATTCAAGAAGCCTCATTTCACAGTATTCAAAGGTTCCTACAGCCTCATCGTGAGTACTGGAAAACATTTGTGTTTTAAACCATGCACAAAACCATGGTCCAATCGTTGGAAACATCCAAATGTACCTTGGTCCTCAAGGGAATTTCCTGTGGTGAAAATGCAGCACCAGAATACATCATTTTCAAATTTCAAACGCCACACCGTGTAAACTTTGACTTGCTATATAATGTTCCTTCACTGCTGTCTTGCAGCTCTGAGTTCCCTTTGTTTTCTTGGTTACATGCGTTTTGTTTTATGTCCGATGGATGACTTGTAATCAAGGCTTTGAAAGTACAAGAACTCAGTACTTTACCCATTAAGTTGTAAGGAAACAACTGCTGCAGTACTGACATTCAAACATTGAACGTTCAACAACATAACACATCAGCAGCAGAGAGGATTCTGGAACATTTTACACCGACCACAAACAAGGAAAAATAAGAATACCATAAATTTGATATTAAGTGTATTCACAAAACGCCGCGTTAGCTGACCTGAAAAAGTCAGTGAGAAACAAAATGAGCTTCACATTGTAAAGTTGTTAAGTATTGACCTCTTTTAAACAGTGACTCCTGTATATAAGATGAGATTCGGCCCGCCGTTTGAATTCATTTATATGCCTTACTTCAATCAATAATAATTTCTGTTGACTGAAAGAAATCAATACGTGCGTAATTAAGGTTATTGAAACATCTCGCTGTGTTAAAATCGGCAGACTCCACAGTACATCAAACACCTGCATTTATCCAGTTTCCTCACCAATAATCTCCAAGAACATAACTGTTCAAACACACGGCAGCTTCTTACCACTTCACACCATTAGAAACACTCAATTAATTCAGACACATATGTATCTCAAGTCAGCACTCATCAGCCTCGGATATGACGGGCTAAAGAAAGCAAAAACAACTTTGGGAAAAAACCTTAACACTGCCATTGTGGGATAAAAACAGAGCGGCGCTGAGCGTCAGAGGGTGATACATGTGAACTCCCATTAGCGAGCGTTTAAAAAACAAGTTTAGACAGATAACAAGCCATTAAGGCCACTAGCAGAAAAAAAAAACCTCCAAAAACACAAATGGACCAAAGCATTCAATTATCATAAATGGAGAGTGCTGTACATTTGTATATAAGCCTGCCAAAGGACCAGACACACACACACACACACACACACACACACACACACACACACACACACACACACACACACACACACACACAGTCAAATACATGCACACACATCTTTTAGAGTAGCATCCAGGCATGCATGCAGCAACACAACAAATAAAAGGGGCCGCTGTCCACAACAATTTGTCACCTCATTGATTCCCTCTTTAAGGCACTATAGTGCACCTGTGGGAAAACTGCGAGGCCCAGTAATTGAAGTTGACTGGATCTCCCCTCTCTTTGGTCATTCCCTCAACGTCTGAGCCCCCTATCAGTGAAAATGAAAGACCTCTACCCTCTCCACTAAACCCACCCTTTACGCCACCACATAACATACAGCCAATAGTGTGGGGGTCATTCTCATCTCGCTCTCCACACAATCCCCCCCCGCCCGCCCCCATGCCTGCACTTCACAGTTAATTCCCCTAACCAATGGAGAATGAATTGTGTGTGTGTGTACAGCAGGGCTGTTGTTAGAAATTTACGACACTTGGGGCTCGGCCAAGAGGCAGTTTTTCGGGGACGAGGGGCGGTACATCTAAGTGGAGGATTGCATTTCCATTCAAACACTGGCAATCTGTCGTACTGTGATGTAAACAGGGGTTTAAATGAAGCCGAACAATATGGCCATTAGCCTGGACTTGACTGTGTAACATTTGTAGAGAGAAGAATGAGTTGAAGCCAACACCAATCAGCGCTGTTCATGTCCATTGTTTTCAGTCCGCAGTGGCAGTGAAAGGGCTGAAGCTGAGAGGACTGTTCTAATAACCAACAAACTTACAAAGAATATTGCAGAACATTTTTTTTATTGACATTAACACAGACTTGTCAAGCTTCACACGTTTAGCTTTTTTGAGGCTTTTCACTATCGAGCTCTCAGCCAAGTCAAGTGTCAGGCCAAGCTCACACTCAAACTTCCATCTGGCCACTAATGGTAGACTGCTTACAAAGCGCACAGCTGCCTCCTTTTAGCCGCCTTCCCCGGATTTGGATAAAAAGCCAATTTTCGATGCAAAATATATTCCTAAGAAAAAGCTGAAGAGGCATACTGCATTTGTCGTAAGCTTCAGAAGTATTTTTTGTCACACTTAAATATAATAGAAATCAAGTATATCCTCTGAAAATAACTCTGTGAGTCATGACTGTCTACAATGGGTGTAACACCCGAGTCCCACTGTCTGTGATGTTTTCAGAGTTTTCAGAGTCCTATCTTCACTTTGTTTACATCGCCGAGACGACGGCTGACTCCTCCCCTCATGTATAAAAGTTGTTTAATTGAGGGACTAGAGAAAAGAAGAATAACATACTGTAACTTACTGCTTAACTGTGTTTCTAGATCACGCTCATTTCAGGTAAATTTACATGCAGTGTGAAGATACCAGCATAATAAAGATCGCTAGCATTAGCATGCTAACACAACAATGCACCGCAAGTTGTTTTGGTTTCATGCTGGTGCTCAAGGGCGACATCTGCTGGATCAAAATATAAAGCATATAAAGCCTTCAAACAACCTTTTTTTTAAAAATCCAAGATCCAAATAAAAATCTTCATTATGTGCTGTTTGACTACTCGGGCAAACCGTCTTCACAACAAATTTTAAAAGCCTCTATTTGCATCAGCTTTTCTGCAGCTTCCCCAAAAAAGTATCTCAACCAAACTCTACTCCACTCTAGTTATGTAGCACCTTTTGTACAAACATTTGATTATGAATGACCTCTTTGATTCATAGAATTAATTTATTAATCTCTAAAGTCGTAAATTCAACTCCTTGAAATGTCACCGAGGGGCGTCCAAAACGGCCGTGTGGGGGTCGCTTTAAATCCGCCCTACCTTCTCTGGTCCAAACAAATCCAGAGCATTCAGGAGCAGAATCTAAAGTTAGAAGGAGGACATACTGGCTGCTGCATTGTTGTCAGAGAAGCCAGCACTTTAACATAGCATGTTTCCTTAATGTCTGATCAGATAGTACAGTTAACTCACTACATATCTTACTTAATTTACACTTCTTGATTGTCCAGACCCTTACTTAGAATAAACCTTCTTCTGTCTGCTCCATCTTGTCACACACATCATCTAAACAACAAGCCTAGACTAACATGTCCAATGCTTGTGACTGTACCCAGAGTTAGAAAAATGCATTAATGTTGCTTTCACAGCTTTGGCTCGTAGCTATTTTGCTCAGAACAGGTGCTATATAATCATCATAAGCTTGTTGTGACAAGTGTGCTGAATGCTACATAATACAGTTTAAACCTTAATTATCTGGCTTTGGTGTGATTGCGTATACTGTGACCTGCAGTCTACAAAGGCAGTATTTACACATGCATGCACACATGCCGGTCACATTTTAAAGCAGGATAATATAAAAAACTGACTACTAAATAATGCCTATACCACGTGCCCTTGAGGAGAAAGCACATTATGAAAGTACATTTCACATTTTTGACAATTATCCCCGTTATCTACGCTTAAAGGGGTTAATGACTTCCACCTGAATTCACCTCATTACACTGCCATATGCAAAGAGCGACCTGAATGTTTTTTTTTTTTTGTGCGTTTGCTGCATAATTTCTGAGCCTTTAAAAAAAAGAAGGCAACTCAACTGGTGAGCAAGCAGTGCATCTTTGTGTGCGTCTCTTTCAGACACAGGATCACAGCACACACTACCTGCAGTGTTCTCGTCTCGAACGCCCATGTGTCACTCAGACGTGTCATTTCCCGCAGGAAAAAGAAGCTGAAAAAAAGTTTTGTCATTGCATTCTTGTGGCCCCCCCCCACCCCCAAGCCTTGTCTCTCTGGGCTATCCTATGGTCTATAGTCAATCAATCTACAGCAAGCTGCCGGCACCTTTTTAATGCCCTTGAGTCATGACACTGAATTGGGGACATGGATAAGAGGCAGCTACTTTAGTCTGTTTTCAGAGAACAGGGGGGACAGAAAAAGACACGAACAGAGTGAAAATGTAGCTCCTGGGGAGAGACCATAAATAGACAGCCAGGTAAGAACTTGTCACAGTCTGTTGTGTTCGTTTCATTCAGCCCCTCTTTGCACAAAAAAAAAAAAACTGAGTTCCTGTGTCTTCACCTCGCACTAAATTTACATCGAGGTGTTCACAAATTTAAAAAGTCATCATTAGCAGAACATATTTTAAACAGCAGAATGTTTTTTGTTTTTTTTATTCGTTTGAGCTGCGGGGAATAAGAGTGTGCAATCCCATAAACCTTTTTTTGTCTTTACACCCAATTTCCACATACTCCGGAGCGAGCCACCAGCGCCACCAAGCTCAGCTCTGTTTCAAATACGCTGCAAGTCTATTTTTCAACGGAGTACACTGCAGGCACGCGTCAAGTCGGACCAAATATAACAAACCGGACAGGAAGTCAGACGAGGAAACGCACAGAGCAATCTCTCAATTTCAAAATAAAAGACAATATACGGACTCAAGAGTGTATTTTTCAACACTTTAACAAC